AGTTAAGCTATTGCAGCGCGCTTTCTTTTGAAAAACTAGTTTCATTTTTCACCATATTTCATCACTTCATTCCTATGCATGGCTTATATACAAAAAAGCTTATGTCAATGATATCTCATCTGCGTTCCTGGGATCGCTTTGTTTTCCTAATTTTTTTAAATTTTAGTTATTTTATAACACTTTAATTCGTTTTTTGGTTATTCAAACATTTCTTCGGCTGCAACTAATATCAGATTAGAAAACACTCTATCAAATGGAACATTTCCGGAAACTTTACTCATCTAATTAGACTAGAAGAGAAACATGCTAATGTGACAATCAAAATCGTAAAAACAACCTTGTGTTTAGCGTAGGTATAATGAAACACTCAATCGATTTCGAGGGCAGCTAAAGGTCCCTCCTCATCAGGAGAAAGAAATACCTAGAAAGAAGAAAATAACTTTCCACTATTTGAAGTTCAGATTTTGAGCGTAAGGTGCATTTGCCCCTCGCTCCCTATTTTAACTTCGCTAATTTTTCATGCTCGATCAGATAGCCTGGCTCATAAAAGTAGGCGGCCAGTGCAACTCTGATTTAAACATCTAGTTATAACCACGTGCAGTGCTGATAGGACCACGATTTCTGTGGACTCCTTCTCCTTTATTTTCTTCTTTCTAGGTATTTCTTTCTCCTGATGAGGAGGGACCTTTAGCTGCCCTCGAAATCAATTGAGTGTTTCATTATACCTATGCTAAATACAAGGTTGTTTTTACGATTTTGATCATCTAATTAGGTTGATTCTTTAGTCAGTAGATCCAGTTGGCCATCAAGTCCTTTACCGTTCGCATTGGTGAAAGAGGGATCGAGGTTATCCTCTATTGTGTGTTTCATTAGCTAAACTAACGCAATATTTGGATCTTGGAGTAAAGTGTTGCGTGTTACCCTTCATATTGATTCAGGTAAAACCCCTTTTTCGAGGCACAGCTGCCTGCTGCCACTCGCATTCTTTAATATGATAGGCTTATTTAAAAATCCGAGAAACTTTTCTTATAACTTTTTTTTACATAATTATTGTTGAGATCTTAATGAGTAAAAAATTACAGCCTATAAACTACAAGCATTTAATTTTCCTATAAAATACAATATATAAATACAAAATACAATATAATTGCCTATAAAATACAAATATTTAATTTGATTATTTTCTGTTTCTGCCCTTTTCACATGAAAGCGCGTTTTCAAGGACAGTATGCTGTTCTGTTTTCTTTGCCTACTACATCCCAATACTGTATTTACTCGCGTAATTGTCACTCTCACGTAATAGTCGCAGCCTCGTTTTGAAGGGGAAAAAAAATCATCTAAAGTGTACAATATTGTGTCATAGATTCTCCGCATAATAGTCGCGCCTAGACTTTCACAATGTAAAATTGGCAAAAAAGTACGACTATTACGCAAATAAAGACGGTAACTTGATTTTGTAGCTCTTTCCTGCATTTGTACAAGCAATTACTATGGAAATAACGAAAGAGCTATAGCACGTATTTCAAACAGTGAAAGTCGCATAGGGATTGCATCGCATATTATTTGATGCAATTTTGGGATTACAGCTTATATTTAAATTTATATTACTAAATTAGTTAAAAATTTTATACTAAACAAACGCCAAAAGTATATACAAAATCAACGATTAAATATTAATTTTGATTTACATTATATTTAGTCATTAATATTTATTAGGTTTTTAATTTAAAAAGGTTTGACTTAAAAAAAAGGGGGCCGAAATGCATTTTTGAAACCAGCATTCCAAAGATAACAAGAATTAGATTTCGAAAGTGAAAATCACTTATAATACTAAACTTCCGAAACACTATATTTTCCTAGGGAATTTTTGCTGTTTAGACATAATCATAATTAATTTTTTCACAACTCTTAAGTGCTTTTGAGAAGATTCCTATTTTAGCGTTATTTTTTGAAAACGTGAATAAAAATTTTCATATTTTATTTACTTAATGCAGTTATTTGAGGGAAATGCCAAATTTAATACACTAAGAGTAAATATGAATCAGTCATTTCCGGAAGTTACAAAGCGCCTACCTAATAAATAAGGCCAACCATTTCGAACAAAAAATAATTTAGTTCGCTTCAGCCAAGGTTACTATTACTATACTACTATGCTTGTCTACTGATCTCGGGTGCAGCTATTAAGATAATGAGCTTGATGTTTACGCCAATTTATAGTATTCTGAAATTTGATAACCCTCTATTCATTCACCGTTACGATGTTCTTTTTATTATCTTGAAGCTTAATGAATGAGCCATCAGCTGTTATTGTCCTATTTAAGCTGCAGAACTACAACAAAGATAACACGTATCTTATTTCACACAAAATATTTTTTTTGCTATAGGCTCTGAGTAAAGGATGAGACGATAATTCCAGGAATTTGCTCAAGAGACTGTAAACAGATACTTCGGAGCAGGAAGACGTTCGGGGTTTAAAACATTTTAATAAATTAATTACAAGCTTAATTTTACTCGGCCAGTAAAGAATAAGTTAGCCGTATAAAAAAAATAATCTGGTTCTAATAAACGACGCAGAGCTCTTAAACATCCGGATCGCTTCTTTTTTCTATGCAAATTAAATTAAGTTTGCTGTTAAAAGGTTTATTCTTCTTCGAACATTTGAATAAATTAATTTAGTAAGGTAAAAATACACATATATTGACGAATTTATTAAATTAATTTAGACGCATGTCTGCGTTATGTAGATTGCCTAAAATGATCTAGAATTATGCAGTTTATAAATCTTAATGGGAAAATACTTACATTACTTTACAGATCTACAGTTCTTTATTTACTCAGTGTATCACTACAAGGACGCCTTCTCTAAAAAACAAAGTGAATAAATGTGATGACATCATTACGTTAACTCCCTTTCCACGCAAAACGTCTTGTCTTATACGCAGCATACGGTCAGTTAAACTTTGGAGCTTTATTTTTGTAACAGTATATATAACATTTGTTGTAACAATCTCTATATATCATAAAAGAAAGAGCCTGTGCGACTTTCGTTCGTGCTGCGCGTAAGCTAATACACCCAGGGCTACGAAATTTGGTACATGGGTGCATCTAGACAACAGCCAGTGCACCTCGAAGCGATTTTTTCAAAAATTCGAATGAATTAGCAACAATGGCAAAATTAAATTAAAAATTCGAAGTTTCCTATTATAAGAGGTATTTTACTACACGGTACGTGTCCAGTTCACAGTAATTTATGTTCTCCAAAGAAATCTGTCTGCAATTTTGATGCGCTTTTAATGGCAACGTCGTTTACGCTCTAAATATCGTCTCCGCACCAATGAAAAGAAGTTTCTAAAAATTATATATAGAAAAGAGTGAGATTTTTGTGTTTCTACAAAGTAAGAATGGCTTCACTCCTTATCTTTACAAAGTAAAAACGCCTTTTCTTTACCCACTTGAAGAAAATTGTCAAGAAAAACAGTAATACAAGAACTCGAGCAAACTTCATATCTACTTAGTTCCGCTTACTAAACTAACAGAACACAAGCATTAACCTATCAACACATGATGATTTATATGAAGTGCTTTAGACATGAAGACATCTCACGGTTTTAAGAGGCATTGCGGCGGAAAGATTTATTTTTTCCATGATACATATTTAGTCTTAATACACTAAACTGTAGTGACGAATGTGAGGAAGTGGGTTAAAAAGAAACATGAATTCACAATGAAAACGTTTCTATTATATCAGTATTGGAATGCATAAAAATCAATTGTCGGTTTTCTTATCGTAATACTTCTCACATAAAGTATTCTTAATATAAATGTAATGTATCAACTACACACACACACACACAAAATAATAATAATAATAATAATAATAATAATAATACAGGCAGTCCCACCCTTTTTTAACTTGCAAATCAGGGTATGGGCTCATTCCTAATTTCTTCTACTTTCTTATTTTTTATGAAGGTAAAATAAAAATATTGCTCTTTTCCCTATATTAGGAATTTTACACGCATAAAAGGCGAACCATTTTAACTGACATTTCATTTTTCACAATGATTAAATATATATTATCAGCAATTATACTCTAACACATCCCAATTTTTTTTATTGAATTTTATAAGCGAAATATTCCGAATATGAAAAAATGAATAATTATGGGAATTTTAATACGATTTTTTTGCCTATTAAAACTCGAACACTATCACAAAATTGCTCAAAGCTTTGCCCAGTCTTTCACAGGTTTAATTAAACACAAGTTATTTACTATTACGAAATCGTTCACAAAAACATCTCACCTTAGGTCGATAACCCTCCCTTGCTTCGTCACAGTTAAATACCTACGTAACAAAACGCGTTAGGATTTTATATCGAATTATTAACGTTAAGTCACTGTCATGCCTTTCAAACATAAACTAAACTGAAAGCCGATTTGATTTGCATATAAGAATCTCGATTTTTCGAGGGTAATACGTCGCAGAGACGATAATGCTAGCCATGTTTTAACAGATATTACGTCTATTAGATTTATTTTATTAATGTGTATTTAGTGCTGTATTCTGCATAGATTTTATAAAGCAAGGGTATATCTAACAAGCAGGTCTTTCAAATTCTTAACGAAAATCTCCGTCTAAACATCGATTGTTGGAACACTCATTTTATTTCTCCGCTGTTTTTAATATTAGGGAACACTACTCTGTGTTAGGTTAACTAGAATTTAGAAATGGCGTTGGAAGGCAACATTTACAACAAAAGATGAACGTTAGACCTTCGGAACAGCTGCATAGCTTGCGTGCTCTTCGTTTGTCGAGCACCTTTTATCTATCGATGTTCCGGCCTTTTAATAAGCGCATGTTCAACTCGGAGAAAGAGAAAGCCATTTTACGTTTTCAAAGAGGAGAGACACAAAAGGGGCACTTGTCGCTTTAGAGTTTGTACGCACATATGGTGATCAACAAGTGGAGAGAGCTCGACCAGAAAAAAGCGAAACTTACCTTGAACGAGTAATCGAGCGAGGGAATTCCGAGTTCTCTTGTTATTCACTTCACAGTAATATTCTCCGCTGTCTTGATAAGTAACTCTTCGGAAGTACAGGGCATTGTTATGGGGCTGAAGGGAGACGTGAGTGCCAGCTTCCCACAACGTCCTATGACCGTTGACAACTTCAATTATCTTTTTATCTTCTTTATACCATACCAAGCGGTTGACATTATCGACGTCTGATGCAGGCTGGCAGTACAGCGTAGCGTTGTTGCCCGTCCGTATGTACTCATTCTGTATGTCCCCGTTACCTACAAGAAAGTACAAATTTTGGTATAGCTAAATTATTATAGCTAAATTTGATTATTCAAGTAGGATACCAAAACGATCACAAGTACAAAAGCATACAAATTTAAATAAAAAGAAAGCAATATAAAATTTGCGGTACTTAAGAATGTCCATTAAACAACTCTGGAAACAAAAATCCTTATACGGATATTCGCGCAGAAACTATATGCAAATATTTATTTAACTGTTTTTCTGGCAGTTGCTAATCACTTAAAGGGAGACATATTTAAATAAAGAAGAATTAAGAAAACAGAGAAGAAGAAATCGTAGAGTATAAATAAATACAGAAAGAAGAGCAAACGAAGAAAATAAAAAATAAAATAGAAGTGTTTAAAAAAAAAAGAAGAAATGAAAGCTTACTTAACAGTTTTACTACCAATGAGACATACACAGACGCAAAATTGATTAAAAGGATTAATACTGACTTCGTCGGTTTCGGTGATCATTTTATATACTAAATGCAACTTTGGCAAATTCAAAGCGTCTTTTGGAAAATCTATCAGATAAGTAAAATGAGACAATAAATTCAGCGCATAAGATTACATTTTTGTTCATCTGATAGAAAATGTTCATATTTAACCTTCTGCAATCGGAGATATTTGTAATTCAATTTTTCTAGACCCCTCAAAACATATTTTTCAACAAAATACAGAAAAACACTTAACTGTAAACAAATTGATGCAGTAAAAAGTTCTTATATTAAGTGATGTTTACAGTCGCATTTATGTTTAAAAGGAAAAGGAAGTAATTACGCGAACATAAAATTTCAGTTTACGGCTCTTTAGTTTTAAGTACGTAGAATTTTTTCCGGACATTTTAAAAGATTTAACATGAACATATTGTTCAACGCATAAAACACAAAGATGTGCGTACATAAAAAATATTATCGGCAGAAACAATGCAAATGAAAATATATGTTTATAAACCATTCTGATATATAGAAACACTAGAAAGCATATGTTACAACAAAAACAAAATTATAAACTCGAGATCTGTTAACAAATTCTAGCGCTTAACAGAGTCAGTTGATAGAATTCCGAAAATGCATGTAAACACTTCTACTATTTCAGTAAATGCCATTTATGAACATCAGTTCGTGAAAGCTTGAACCTCACTAGTGGTTGAGTGACCGCTGAACACTGGTAGTTCTACTCGGGTATACGACTCAGTATACTGGTAGTCATCGTAGTTTTCTGCATTGCAAAATGAATACGAGCCAGTTTCCGTTCGAAAACCTTCCACGAAGGTATCTCTCCTTTTAGGCATGTTATGAATTGATAGCGCCAGACGCTAGGTGGAATAGCTGTGAATAGGAATGCAATAACGAATATGCTAATCCTAAAACAGGCATCACATCTACAAGCTACTCTCAACAACGAGTCGAAGAAGAATTTTCCTGAATTTTTGTTTTCGAGATATCTGATAGGTTGACTTACGGGAAAACCGGTTCTTTGGAGAAAACATACGAGGGATAGGGCTTCAAGCGAAATATTTTCAGTTCAGATTAAAAAAATCCCGCGTAACTAACCGGGACACCGGTTTCAACGAAATATGTTTCGGCTAGAAAACTTCAGAGGAAGGAGAAGGATAGTCTCGTTCCTCGGAAATATTTCGATTGGGATAACCCTATTAGAATGCTGAAGGCGAATGTGTAATAATTTGTGTTGTAGAACGTTGTGTGTTAATTATGTAAATATACATCTGTGTTTTTGTTAAGATCACGCTTCCCAAAATGTCGCCAAATGGTTGCCAAGTATGGCTATATCTCGCCAGTTTAGCGAGATAGCTATTTACTCAATCTTAGACTTGACTCTGTATTCTTACTTTTCCGGCAAAGCATCGTCTTTTTAGATTTTCATGTTAAATTATACAAAAATAAATAAAATAAAATCACAATTTCACTGAAATTATCTACATATGTACAAAGTTCGTAACAGTTCGAAATAAGCAGTAAGTCTGCTATAATGGGTGAATTTTGTGGTGAAAAATACAGAGTATTATAATAAGTTCATCTCAATTCTGTTTTAACTTCCTATTCTATTTACAGACTTTTCTTTAAAAAATAATAATAATTAAAAAGGGGACTTAGTACATCAGATATATATAAATCGAGTTTCATAAAATTATGCAAAACTTCGAACATTTTAAAATTTGCATGTTCAAAAGATTTTACATAAAATAACAATAAAAAATTGTGAAAGGTTTCAGATTTTAAATTACGTCCAAAGGGGCATTTTTTAACGTTTTGTGTGTTACCTTTATTTATTAAATATCATGTTCTTCGCACTTAAACCATAAAATTCAATTCAATAGCGATGTCGCAAAATAATTTTAAAATGAGCGTATCTTTAGAATTTCTGATACACAGTTCCGCGCGCTGAAGATTAAAAGTACCCCCCCCCCCGGTAGAGTGTTGCCATTGCTCGCTTTTAAATCGTTGAGTTTGTTACTCAAAAATTCGTTAAAGTTTAAAAAATATGAAATCGGTAATGAAACAAATTCCGAATGTGGTCTTCCACATGCCCATACTCGTAAGAGGATTACGTCATTTAAAATTCGATAGCTCTACGTACCATTGTTTATCACAATGCGAGAAATATACATACATTTATGCAGATTTTTCATTATTTAATTTCTTGAAATATAATGTAGGATTCTAACATTTGGTGGCAACAGTTTGAAAAGTGATTCGCCGTTTGCGTAGTGATTCATCGTAGTGATTCATCGCAAAATCGCAAAACGAAAACAATAGTCCTTCAGGGACAAAGCCCCTTTGGTCTAATAATTATATAAAATGGAACAAGTAGAGTCAAATGAAACATTTTCTTGCTATTTGGTATTAGTAAGTACTGACATTTACTAAAATGGTTCTGCAAAAGTTCAAAATGGAAGCGTTTACAAGCATTTTGCACAGTTATATCACCTCACTACAGTAAATGGCAGAATTTACCAATTTTCAGGCCTTTTACAGTAAAACACATGTTTAAGGTTCATTTCAGTTTGACATTTTATATGTTATTCAAGTTATTTCTTGATAAATATAATAAAGAAGAGTGTTTTAAAAAGCTGGAATAAACTTGAATAAATTTTAAAAAAAATTATTAACATTTGCATCGTTACTACATTTAATAATATATTATTTAGCGTCACGATGCATGTCGGTACAGAATAATCGTTCGCGTGGCTCCTTGCAACGAGTTTTATTTTTTATTCTCTGTCAAAATTTGCCGACCAGCGACCCAGCGATAAAGTCGCTAATCACTTGTAACTCGGTCCGGGGTTAGAGCCCCGGCGAACGGGCTGGCTGCATGGGCGTTTCCGTGGTTTTTCCTCAATTGTAACATGTATACGAGCCAGTTTCTCTTAAAAAGTCCTCTACGAAAGCTATCCCTTACCTCAGGCAGATAGCCCGCGTGCGCTTTCCGTAATCAAATACACTATCCAACTCTGTGAAAATTTTCACTTCGGAAAAAAATTTGGAATATAAATCTTGATTTGAAGAGATAACAAATATAGATGCCCAAATCCATTTTTCTATTACCTACTAATTTATACTTATTTAAAAATAAGTTTTACTACCTGACTTTTAAATTGACCAGATTAAATCCATTTTAAGAGTACATGTAAGGTTGATATTTTCATGTGTATTCTAAACTTAATATTGTTGAAAGGAATATTCTCCGCAAAGTAAAAAACTCTGGTCTTTAGCTTTACTTCAATTACGCACTTAGTTAATACAAGCAATTTTTCTCAGCAAAAATTCAAATACCGTGTTAATTCGCAGAATGTCTTCCTAGTTGCATTAACAAAGAGAATTAAGAGCATCTGAAAATAATTTCTTTTAAAACTAAAAGCGGTTAAGCTAAAGAAGAAGGCAATAAGCCTACGATATCACCAAACAAGAGCAGGCATAATTAAGAAAGTATTTCTGCATAAAACCACAAAAAAACTGTATCCGTAAATGGGCTGTTATTGCATTTCCGGAGCTTCCAGCCATCCTGACAGAAAAGGGCAGATCTGCGGTGAGCTCATTTATTGCAAAGGAAGCAGAAAACAGTCAAGGATGGATGCGTACACAAACAAACTGGTATCACTAGTGCTTTGCTTCCAGCAAACTTCAAAACGGAAGAAAGAAAAACAGAATGAACACACAACTAAGATACTGATAGACGATGAAGCGAAGCTTTCATTCAAATTTGTTTATTTTGCATGTGAATTATCTTCCTTTCCGCTCAAATACACTGCTTTTTTCTCTCTTTTCAAAGAAAGCGGTTTATTTTTGAGCTTTTCAGCTACCGAAGAAAAGCATAACGGCCAATTTTTATGTCTAAGTTAAAGACTTAAATCAACTCCGAAACGCCAAATCAGCGCACTCCAGCCCTTTATTTTTCTGCTCCGGGCTGTCATATTTTAACCTTACTGCTTTTCTAAATTGGTCTAAATCTTTAGCGGTATCAAACTGCGACATTATAAACTTATCCAGTGCATTTCAGGATTCCATTTCATGTAGGAATTGATCAGACAATATATTGTAGAGCCATTAGATTTTCTGAGCTATATAGGATCTTGAAAAATTCCCTTGCCGGAAATTGCATTCGAGTTTTTTACTGACAGACGAAAGTGCTGAAAATAATTTCTTTTAAAACTAAAAGCGTTTAAGCTAAAGAAGAAGGCAATTAGCCTACGATATCACCAAACAAGAGCAGGCATAATTAAGAAAGTATTTCTGCATAAAACCACAAAAAAACTGTATCCGTAAATGGGCCGTTATTGCATTTCTGGAGCTTCCAGCCATCCTAGAAGAGCAGCACATGGCGGATAAAATATTTAGTTCCTTATTAATATGACATAAGATTTCGCAAAATTGTTAGATTTAAAAAAGGTAACTTTTATAAAAGATGAGAATTTGTGCGATAGAATGTTTAGACAATTTTCAAGTATAAAACCAAGTTTAAATCAGATT